GAACGGGGCATTGGGTCGGGACAGAGGGGTCGGATGCGGTCCCCGATCCCAGTCTCAATGCCAGAAACCTATCGCCAATCCTTACACCCGAGGCTGTGATCCCGCTCAAGGCTGCCGTTCCAGCGGTGATCAACCCCCGCCCCACGCCCGCTAATAATATTTCCCCCGCTTTTCTCCGTCGCCTTCTCGCATCTATCCCTCTTGCTCCCTAAACAGCAAGCCATTTTCCCATTAATAATGTGGTCAACTGTAAAGCTCTATGTTACGGCCAATCATTAATTCAATTTATTCCTTTTTTATTTATGTTTATTGTTCTCCTACTCTCTTCACTTTGTTCTGCAATTTTATTTAATTTACCACCTTTTATTAACAAATTAACCTGCACAATATTTTAATGACATAACCAACGCATTCGTGTTTTACTCATTCCTATGGCAAAATGAATGCGACTGAATCATGGACACAACACTGCGCAGCCAATTTGTGTTATTTTCTTTGTTCCTAAACGTGTGAGTTAGATAATTAATTTATACAAATTAATAAATCTAATTGAATCAGTTATTTATAGAAAAATATGCATTAATTTTTTTAAAATATTGTTTTTAATTATTTGCTTGGGAAACTACTGAAAAACACTTTTAATAAGTACAGTTATCAGGAAGAATTTATACAAAAAAAAATTATAACTTTCAGAAATAAAATGAATTGATATTTTGTATTTAGAATCAAAACTAATTTTGATATTGTAGAAAGTATTCATTTAGGCAGGATTGACTTGCTCGAGGAAATTAGAAAATGACGCGGCTCGAATTGAAAACTCACAAAATCAAGCCTTTGAAGTTCTACTGGCAATAGAAAAATTTCTGTTTCATATCGTGTTCAAGTCTCGAGCTTTCGTATGCCATTTAATTTGCATCTCACAGATATTTTCTAAACACATGGCCTCTGTTGACAAGGGAAAGGGGTCTGTCTTACAGTAGTATAAATCGTTATATTCTAGGCGAACTAATACATGTAATGATCACAAAGTTCACAGATAATACTACACCTATAATTAATATAAAAACTAGTTAACTAATTTGAATATATTAAGAAAGTTTGTTAATTTAGTTATTTGTAATCAATATGCATAATGTCTTTTCTAAAACACCTTCATTAATCATGTGTATTAGCTAGAATTAGTATTTGATGAAACATTTAACATGTGTAATTATTACAACTTACAAAGACTGTTTTAAAAAATAAATAAATAAACATAAGGGGCAAAGTGGATCCTAAATCCTATATTTAAGATCAAATTAAATATCAAACTAGCTATTATATTAAAAACAAGATGCAGTATTTGTTCTAATTATATGAATGAGACAATATTAGTATTAGTTGGGCCAACAGTAGAAATAAGACAAGATTAATGGAATAATTAAGGCGTGTAATTAAAGCAGAAGGTAATTAATACAAAATCTTCACACACATTAAACTTCCAAAGCCTTTAATTTCTTTGTTTGTTTTTAAATTTTTGACGAACACCTGCCTAATCATGAAAAAATGCCTTTTGTTGGCCACAGGAAGCAGCACAGCTGGGGTTGAAGCCAATGCGCCAATGGCAAAGAGCTCCTCCACCTATTCATGAAGATTGTAATTTTTTTTCCCAAAAAATTAATGAGGTGAAATTTATTGTCTATTATTATGTGTATAGTAAAATCCTATAAAATACCGATACTTATAAAAATATGTTGAGTCATTATTCTTGCCAATATAACATTTTGAAGTATGGAGTTTCCACAGAGTTTTGATCAGTTTTGCCATTATTATTTTGTCACTCATCACGACCTTATACTTAATTAGACGTGGTGAGTACTGATAAATAAATAATTAAAGTAGGGAGGGAAAAAAGGGTGACCTATGAATCCCATGCATATACGAACGAGTAATATGTATAGGTAGCGATCAGGAGGGAGTTACGGCTCAGAGAGGAGTCGGCACCATCAGGGATAAGACTTATTATAGACCAAAATAAAGAAAGAAAGAAAAAAAGAGAGATTATATAAAGGGAGGATATAGCCGGACGCAGCAGAATTGTAGAACAGATCAGAAGAAAGAAAGAAGAATGGGAGGAAGAGGAGGGAAAATGACGACGACGACGATGGTGGTGGTGGTGATGGTGATGGGAATAATAATAATGGCAGGAGCAGAGGAGGGGGAGGAAGAATACATAGGCTACGGCGCAATGCGTCGAAACACAGCAATTGGTTGCAGCCCCAGAAACCCAGCAGGATGCAAGCCTCAACCTGTTAATCCTTACACCCGCGGCTGTAATCCCTCTCAAGGATGCCGCTCCGGCGACGACCAGCCCATCCACCATTGACACCATCCACTCTTTCCAAATCTCATTATTTTTCTTAACATGTTTTCTAATTATAAGATTTTGTTTGTAATTTACAAATAAGATTTTATAATTAGAACCGAAAGTAATATTAAACTTTAACTATATATAGATATATTCTTTTCATTCATACCGTTGTATAGTTTCTTTGTAACCACGAGTAAAACATAATTATCTAAACGGTTCAAATTAAATTTTAAAAAACGTTTTACATGTTTTATGGTCTCTTAGATTTTCACGGACATGACATTTGATGCGGCCGGGTAGAGATCGGGAGAGAGACTGTGTTTGTTGTTAGGTGACATGGAAATAAGCAATGACATTTGTCTTATGTAGTTTGGGAGTGTAGCATTCCCATTGATATGTATATTATTCATATTCTTGGTCGACTCCAATTACCTGATACAAATTATTAATGAAATTATTCTTTTGTATTTTTTATTATTCTCCTCCTCTGATCTTCTTTTCTAGGGACTTGTTTGGCAGAATATTAGAAATCATTTATAAACACATTTTATATAAATTGAAAAAAAAACTCTTTTCACATACTTGAATTACTATTAAAAAAATACTTATAAGCTATTTTAGACCAGCCCTATGTCTCCCAATTTTGTTCTGCAACATATTTTGTTTGAGCGTTTCCAAATGAATCTTTTTATGCAACTCTAATAACTAACAAGGCAATTCACAAAATTAATCTTAATCACTATCGTCAACAAGGGAAGACGCGTTCTCGAGGCGGGATGGGAATTCTCTCCGTTCAGCCAACTGACTGCAGTGTACGTAGTTGATAAAATTCAGCCATTCTCCCACCAAAAATAAAAAATAAAATTAGTCGGTGATTGGATGCCGTGTTTATCTTTTGGTTGAAGAGAATGATGCTTCCCAGAGCTTGAGGAATGCAGAGCGGCTTGTATGACTCGCTCACCTGAGTTTTTCCTTACCCTTCTGCAACGATTCATCAAGCACACCAGATTGGTCGCCCAAATCCATTCCCAGGTAATCATCAATGGCCACCTCCTCCATTACTCTAATGCACCGTCACATCTAAGATGGACGAGCACTCTGTTATACAACGCCTTGATCAGAGCTCATCACATTTCTGGAATCTCTCACAAGGCCCTTCTTCTCTTCACCCACATGCTCGCTGGCCAAGTCCCGCCCAACGACCATACATTTCCTCCCCTCATCAAAGCTGCTTCTCCCTCTCCTTCTTTGGGAAGAGCTCTTCATACGCAAGTGATCAAGCGGGGCGTTCTAAGTGACCAGTTTGTACAGACCACTTTTATTGCTCTCTATGCTCGTAGTAACAATCTAGCTTATGCTTGTAAGGTGTTCGATGAAATTCCTCATGTCTGCATCGTGGCGTGTAATGCAATGCTTCACGCTTTCTGTACACATGGGGATATGGAGTCTGCCATGTCACTCTTCGAACGCATGTGTAAGCGGGATGTTGTTTCTTGGACAACTATGATAAATGGGTTTGCAAGGAGCGCCAAGTTTGGCAGGGCCATTCAGCTTTTTGGGAAGATGATGGCTCATAGGGATGTCTTGGATCGCTTGGTTATGCCAAACGAGGCTACGTATGTGAGTGTCCTTTCGTCCTGTGCTAATCTCGATGGCAAGGCAGCACTCGATTGTGCTAGGCAGCTGCATGGATACATTGTAATGAATGAGATCTTCTTGGGAGTTTTTGTGGGAACTTCACTGGTGGATGTTTATGGGAAGATGGGTTGCCTTAATTATGCTGTGAATGTCTTTAACTGTATGGTTTCCAGAGAGGTCTGCACTTGGAATGCAATGATTTCTTCACTAGCTTCAAATGGTAGAGAGGAGGAGGCTCTGAATATGTTTGAATATATGGAGGCCGAAGGGCTGCGACCCAACAGTATCACCTTTGTAGCAGTTCTTACTGCCTGTTCTCGTGGAAGACTTGTTAAGGAAGGACTGGACTTGTTTAGATCAATGTCAAATTACTATGATGTAGTACCATCAATGGAGCACTATGGGTGCGTGGTTGATCTTTTGGGAAGAGCAGGGCATTTGGAGGAAGCAGCTGACATCATAAATAATATGCCTTTTCAGCCGGATACGTCTGTTTTGCTTGCTCTTCTGAGTGCTTGTAGAATTCATGGAGCTATAAGCCTTGGAGAAGAGATGGGAAGAAAGCTGCTTGAGTCTCGGACACAACATTGCGGCCAATATGTGTTATTATCAAGCATCAACGCAGATAAAGAAAGATGGGATCATGCTGCTGATATGAGGAAAGAAATGATGCAGATTGGAATTCAGAAAATTCCAGCATTCAGCATGGTTCATTTAAAATAATTTCCTCCCTTCTCAACCAAATGACCACCCAAACGGATACTTGGAGAAAGGAGGAGAAGAACGGATACTTGAAGAAAGGAGGAGGGGACCAAGTTCTATAATGTTGCATCTGAGTATTAAATCGTAATCAACGATAGTTAGGGCTCCTGACAGTTATTTTAGCTATCCCTGTCAAAATTAGGTGCATGTAACTCTAGTTATTCTTAAATGTTGCAACTACTGTACTCAATGGGTAATGCCCATTCATGTTTCTCGACTGTGAATCAGTTAAGCCAGTTCAAAACGATGATATATTAAGATTTTTTCCTTGCATAGTTGAAATATTTGTGCACATCTATGATCATATTACTAAATTATACTTCTTGATCATATATGGCGGAAAAATATTGAACATAGGCCAAAGCACATTCAACCTCTTCACCAAATTACTAAGAAGGGTTCCATATATATCATCAGTAATATACTTATTGATGTGTTAAGTGTCAACATATGGCTAAGTGCTAATATTGGCAGCAAAAGACTTATTGCTGCTGTTTCTTTTCCTTTTCCTCAGTTTCTGCCACAACCAACTCTTGCTGCTCCTTTTCCTTTTCCTCTGTTTCTACCACCACCAGCGCTTGCTGCTGTTCCTTTTCCTCTGTTTCTGCCGCCGCAAGCGCTTGCTGCTGTTCCTTCTCTCCCACTTCTTCCCCATCTTCTACTTCTTGCATTGCATGTTGCCGAAAATATCTAAATATTACGAGCCCTATAAATGCTGAAAAGGAAGGAGTATTATATCGTGAGTCAACCAAAGTTGAATAAGGAGCCAACATTTTTGGCCCAGGTAAATATTGACTTTAATTTCAGCAAATTGGTTGGTTTTCGTACATTTTTAAGATAGATGCTTAATAAGCCATTCAACCTTTTGCAGGTGGGATTCAAAGTTATTTGAAGAAGTGCAGCTGACCAGTTACTATCTTTGCTGCAATGAATTACAGTCAAATCTCTGGCTTGGAATTACCTGTGAGGATTCGGGTCTTTATACATGATAGATTCCAGAAGACTGTGACAACCGATACTACCACTAACTTCTTGTGAGTGCAACCATTCCACGTGTCCATCAACCGCAATTTGAAGCATTCAGCTGCATCACATATTTTTCAAAAGAAAATATTTTTCAAGTATTGAAAAGTGGGAAAGACCTATATGTTTCCACGAAGCGGGAGGATTATACCTCTGTGGCTCATCTGAGCAGAGTAGCAAGAATAAAGCTTTGGGACACTGAAGCTGACAAAAAATCCTGTGATTCCATATTGCAGAAAAGCTAAGATATTTATCGACAGAACTCATATGTGATTGCAACTTGCAAGGATGATTATGTTGTTTCATTTTTCTCTACAAACAGGCTATGGAGTCCATTAGGTACTCACCGATGGCACACAACCTCCAAAGTGTAATAAGGTGGCCATACTCTGCTCCTAGAAGAAGGAAAGGAACTACCTGCATCGATTAAAGACTAGCTGTTTTAACGAATTGAGCAATTTTAGAAATGATCTTTGAAACTGAAAGATTGGTCGTGGGGGATTACCTTCAGGGTCATGGATGGTTCCCCTGAGAAAAGCTCTCGTATCTTTGAAATTGCAAGATTTAAAGCGGGAAGAATCAATTTTGCGAGACGTAAAATGTCATCTTCTTTCAGCTTCTCTTCACTCTTCTTTTTTATCTGGTTCCTGAAATACAAATTTTGAAGATTTAGAACACATCCAAAACAAGGATAGTGGACTATGCTGGATAAATATACATGTTGGAAGGTTTTACCTTTGACAGATAGAGTTTGAGATGAAAGAAACACCCAGATATAGAATTGCTAGATGTGACACGACGGAGAATACGCTGCAATCACGAGTTTAAGAATGCTTTAGAATTTTCGCTGCCTGATTGGAAAGTGGAGAAATTGAACAAAACAAAAGAAAAGCAGAGAGAAGTTGCAAACCTCAAGTTCAGACCATTAGTAAAGCAAGAAGATAAGAAACAGAGGAAGCCGAAGCCGAACCAAAGGGTTGATTTTGATGTATCTTTCCACATAATCAAATCAGTTATGAGCTGTCCAATACGATCTAGATTACCTCCATTTTCTTCATCAGCCTCTGAACAACAAACCACGCAGAAAAGAAGAGGGAAACAGACAAGCGCACATTAGCTGCCATATTGGAAACGTTTAATTTGAAGGCTGAAGCAATCAAAAATCATTTAGACATACTTGGAGATGAACTTGAAGCAGGGACATAGGGAACCAAACTCAGTTTCTCCTTCTTAGATCGCCCGCTGTTCTTTCTTTTCCTAGGCTTGGCATTCTCATCTGCCAACCCCGTATCTCTCTCTTCTCGAATCTCAAGCTCCGATCGCCTCCTTGACCTTCGAGAATTCCTCGGGGATGCTAGCGTACCCATTTGGGCTCCTCTACCTTTGCATCGCCGATGTAAGCCAACAGGCTCCACGAATTCTTCCGCCATTTCAAGCCGATCCGTGAGGCGGGTCTTAGACCTCCTGCGAGGCGAAGGTGAAAGAAGGAGGAGGTCTCTGATGGGAAGTGAGGGAGGAGATTTGAGAGACAAGGCAGAAGGTGATAGGGATTTGGTGGGAGATGAAACGAGGTCAAGCGAAATGCGAAGGGACTCTTGGTGTGCTTTATCCCCAATCCGGGCCAAGCGGGAGGAGGATTTGTTTCGAGACTTGTCGGAACGATGATATGGAGGCGTAGAAGGATCCATTAATGAGTGAAATCCTGAAATCTGATGGCAAATTTAATTGGGAGTAACCGTTTCATAGAGTTTCGGAAAATTTGGTGGCAACATTTATGGGTTGTCGTGGAGATCGAAGTTCTCGAAAGTAGACAGTGAGAGTGTAGTAGCCGTTGGAGAGAGGCGGGTCTTTTTTGAAATTTAGCCCCTTTTCAACGGTAAAATGCCTACGAAACAACTTATGCTTATTTGAGCGGCGGGGTAGTGGGGTCAATGAGATGGACCCGGTCATGGATGCCTTTACTTTTTACAAAATAGTAGTAATAATAATAATAATAATAATAATAATAATTTATCAATTTTCTTGTTTATTTTTCTTTTCTATAAAGAAAGAGGACTCCGTTGCCCTTTTTATTACAACAACAAAACTCAACTTTCACTATTATCAAGACAGTGCAAGCAACTCAAAATCAACTATCAAGAAACAAAAGTACAACCTCAAAAGAAAATATTCAAATGAAGAAACTAAACTAATTAACCAACACCAAAGGTAGCAGAAGTAATGTCTTCATTTTAAAACTTCTTCAAACTTGGTGGAGTCTCCAAATCCAATCATCAAGACATGACCCTTTCAATGAAGTTTTGGCGACTCAATCAGCAATCAAATTAGTCTTCTTAGAAACCCACATTCTTATAAATTCTCTTATTTGAAGGATGTTCTCAATTATAATATCACTTCTCTAATCAGGAGAAGTAATACAGTTAGCAAGGGAAAGATTATCTATTTCAAAAATAACATCATATTTCACTGATTTCTCTGTACATATTCCATGGCTCCCAACATTGGCCATGGATGCGTGAATATTGGCCATGAATTCATCAAGAAGCCAGCCATTTGAATCTCTAGCCAGAAAAGAAATTGCTGCTATACCAGACTCACAATTAAAAGCACAATCTGTAATTATTTTTAATGAAAGAGGAGTCCATTGCTAGAATAAACAATAATACAGAATCCAATTGTAGACATCTAAACAAGTGATGCATCTTGCCAGTATGTACTACCTCCAATCCTAAATATAAGAGTTAGTTGACTAATTTGAGTATATTAAAGAAATAAGTCAAATTAGTTATTTGTAATAAACAAATATTGTCTTTCCTAAAATATTCTTACTAATCGAGTTTATTGACTAAAACTACCATTATTAGACGAACTATCTTGAAAAAAAATAGATAAATATGGGAGACAAAATGGATTGGGGTATTATATTTGAGACTAAAATAAAAGTCAAACGAGGTATTATATTAAGAACCGGAAGTAGTATATATCCAAACAAATACTAGGAGGTAACTACAATTACAATTTAATTAGTACCTGCTTATAGTGCGCTTTCATGTTTGTTTTAACAGAACATCCAAACTCATTCCAACCATCAGCTACATCAGAGGTCTTGGAATCTCTCCTGGTCCCTCTCCCCAGTTCCCTCCTGCGCCACCAGAACTACACACTACAACACTTTGATTTTATGGTTCTGTGCATCTGAGATATTTACTCACATGCCACTTGTTTCACTTGACAGTAGATAATCATTTTCCTACACTGCAGCCGGGGTATTCAATGGATGTCTTGCGAGTGAGAGTGATTTAGGGGGGAAATTACAAAATACCCCATATCAAATATGGAGAGAATTTGAAATTGAATTCTCCCCTACATATATAATCCAGTTTTTTTTTTTAAAAAAAAAGGGATAGAAGGAATGCTCTCCGGACTTCTATATATTTTCGTGTTCTTTACTTTCCTCAATTTTAATTTGTCAGTACTCCAATAATATCGTCCTATAAATATGAGAGTGAAATATGATATAGATGTCCCATATAAGTAGTTTCAAATTTTAAGAGAAAGGCTTTGTAAGCTGCATCTGACATGTAAAGATGACCGAAACTGTTCTTATTCCTTTCTATCTTCATTAATTTGTATCCTTCTACACATGAAGTAAACTGTCTCCCCTTTTAACGTAGGCGGTCCAAACTTAGCTCATTCCATTTTTCTCTTCACGGTCAGTCTCTCTGGTGCCGTACAATACAATTCCGTGGCCATATGTCATGTAACAGAACAAGAATAATATGTCCACAGTCTTACAATACAGGTGTACTATATTAGATTTCCTTCTTTAATTTGGACTAACTATTTCATTCCTTGTTATTTGATGCAAAACATTCGCATCTGTGTACTTGCGTGTGTTACATACATTCTCTTCCTCAAATATAAAAGTTACAAGTCTTTAATTAAAAGCCGCCCCATCTGCAAAATCTTAACCATTGGTATAATTTGGTTGTTGGCTCCTTCAAGCGCTCTGGGTTCATTGTGTTTGTACAAGAGCAAAACTTTCTGGCGTGGTTTCTTCTTCTCGGCAAAGAAGTCTCTCGATCATATGGGTGATCTGGGGATGAATTAATGTCATCATATGCAAGAAGACAACGTTGTAATAACCTGCTAAAAGACTTTTGTTCTTCTTTTTTTTTTCCCTCGTCACCAACCATTGTCAGGAAACAATTAAAAATACTGAGTCCTTCATCAGAATTATTCTGTGCCGAGACACTGCAGAAAGAGAGATGACAAGCTAGAAAACGTACCCATCTAGACGTGTCGGCAGTATTTTCCAGAGCCGAAGAAAGTCACAAGAAGCAAAAACACAGTATGGGCTTCTTGTCCCACGAAAGGCCTTTGGTTTTAATTCTGTGCCATAAAAACAGAAATTAAAGTCCAACGAGAGACACATCAAATCAAAAGGTAAGGCAGATAGCTAGGGGACCTCACACAAACCTCTATCTATGAGGGAAGGGTCGTTTTAGCATGGGTTGCTCCCCTATCCCACGCCATTTCATGGCAGGGTTTTTGGCTGGCAATCACTACCTAACCCTAATGGCCTTGTCACCAAACCCCACCAAAAGAGTTATTCCAAACACACCTTATGGGTTATATTGCCCCCACCACTGTGCCTGTCTAGGATATAATTGAGCTGGCCTCCTAGGAAACAAGTATTATTCTATCAGTATCAGGGAATGGTGCCCTATACTAACAGCGCCCTAGCTCAGCTACTTTCCTGCGGAGGATTCAATTTTCTTCCTTACTCAGCAATCAATAGCAACACGTATATAGATCTGTATTTTATCGCCCCTCTACCTATTTTGGATTTATACTCCAATATGGTATTCTGATATTGAAATGCTCTCTCCTCTCTTAAATTCTTTGCGTCTAGCTAGAATCCTCTCTTAACATAACCCTACTTTTGATTATACTACATATATGGGCGAAGTGCTTGGCAGTAAGGTTTTATGTAAATGTGAATGCCGACCTTGGTCCAAGGGCTTTGATCAGCTACATTACTTCTTAACTAGCATTAATGAGTTGGAGGTTTTTTGACTACAAGTCTGGCACGTAGCTATATATGAATGTAAGAGAAAATGAGAAAGGAGGGTAAAAAGGGAGGCAAAAATACTGTTCAAGAAGCAGGTTAATTTGGTTAGCACTGGATAGAGAATCATGAATCAATGATTCTTTTTTTTTTTTGGTGAAAAATCAATGATTCCTTTTTGCTGACCTCAGACACTGTCACTTCTTCGAATTTCCGGTTTTTCATTCTAAATAAGTAAACAAAGATAGTTTTCAATATTACGAGAGGTTAAATTTTTATTTGAAGAGATTGATTATAATTTTCTTGTAACTAATTATGTTTTTTTTTATTTTTTAGTCATAATTTTGAAATGTTTATTGTAAATGGTAATGTTAATTCAAAGAATTACAGTTTATTATGTATTTTTTCCTCTCCATGAGTATTTAGTTATTTTCCCGTCTTTTCAGTTTTTATCATTTACAGTTTCCACTCCAAAAAACATTAGAATAGAATCGTATTCCGATTACCAATTCACAAATGTGTTCTCATTGTATTTATTATCTTATCATTTGAATATAATTTCAACTCAATGGGCTTTGTTTCATTCTAACTATTGGATGCAGCAAGTCCTTGTCAAATTCGTGAACACTCGATGTGCTTTATGAACGCACGCAAACAGATACAGATGCATACACGTATATATGATTGGCAGCTTGATTGCTATCCTTACTGGATTAGAAAAAATATATATAAAATAAAGAAATAGATTCATCATAAGGTGCATGAACCCTACTCAAATCATCAAATCAATATAATGGACATAAAATTTAATTGATAGTGTGAGTCACCCGTATACGTGTTTGCTGTTTAGGATAAACATGCACGTTCTCGTTGGGATGGCTTGAAAAAACTGGTATATTTTGAAACTTTACATAACACAATTCCTTATCTTCGTTATGTTTAACTGCGAATGCAATTACTAACAAAAAGACCACATACATTAACAAACAATTCCTGGAATAATGGAAATTAATTAGATACATAACTCAAACCTTCAATTAAGGGATACAGTGCAACTAAGTAGATAATAATGTCTCTCGTACTTGGAAGTCCCCGCACGACCATCTCCATGTTCTAAGCTAAATAATGACTCGTACAAAAAGCTCCTGCAATATGAATACTGAACACTGATCTCATGTTTCACACTGAGTTCAGAATTGGCCTATTGTTTATGTTTAATGAATAGTAACAAATATTATAACTTTTATTTCTTCATCAGACGGCGAAGAAAAGGAAAAATAATGGTTTTTTCTTGTGTTATTTTCTCCAATCTACTATAAAAAAATAAGTTTTATATTTAAAATCGGAAGAATATTAATTAGTGGGCATGGTTACATCGTCAATTTTCCCTGTAGTTTTTGCCATGAACAATACTTTGCACGGTGCTTACTGTATCATTCTCTATAAGGTTGTCGGAAATCTTGTGGGTTACGGCTGATGAAATGACTTTTAATTTCCCCTTCTAGCTTGACGTTACCATTGAAGATTCGAAAGTTTCTCGTCTCCTTGTTTTCATTTGATGGATAATGGATTTAACCTCTTGCGCTTTTAAAGCACGGATATTTTTCTCTAATCAACCACGGCTAACTACCTAAACATCATTATGCATAACTAATTCGTACGTTTTAGTTCAACATCCAATTAATTGAGGTGGTCGCGCAAGTTAGAGTCATAATTCCGTTTGGTAATGGGACACTTTTGGCCATTAATTCTTGTTTGATTCCCACCTTTTTTTCTTTTGGAAGAATCTGAATAAGAAAAATAAAATAAAATGCGATATCTATATATTCCCGTCTCATTCTTGCGCTTAATTCACTCCGTTGGGAAAAAATTAACAAAAATGTTTCTCAGAAAAGATGGAAGGTGTCAATTTAGACATATAAACAATTTTTTAATCACGAATGAAATACGAGGACTTACATGCTTATAATTGTGATTCAAAACAAAGCTTTAATCAACGCATGCTAGACAGTGCACTTCTCTCCCACTTGTTTTGCCTAACATTATCCTAACTTTATGAGTAGGAATAATAACGAATTTACTCCAAAAAAAAGAAAGTAAAACGAACTTTACAGTACAATCTGTGCTCGTAAAACAATCAATCAAATTTACTCCAACTCAAATTTTTGTTTGTTTCTTTAAACGATAAGCATTTAATGCAAAGGCTAAATTATGTGAACGTCGCAGTGATAGATGAAAATGTGTGTGTGTGTGTGTGTGTGTTTCTATCTTTCCTTTGACATCGGCTGCTCTCTTTTTCTTGACTTACTACTATATCATCATGATTAACCATTACAAGGGTAAAACTAAAACTTCCGTTTTATAGCCAACAAAATTCCTGAAAGAAACCACGATAAACATTGCATGCTTGCCATGTGTAAAGATTCGCCTTACTAGCAGAGTCTAAAAGAATGACAAAAAAATATCCCAAGCACGAGACTTCGCAAACCAAATATACAGGCTTTTATTAAGGTTAGCTTTGACACGTAATATACCTCAGGCATGGAGATGACAGAAGAAAATGTAAAATAATTAATTAATGCACAGGAACAAACCAAAATCATGGCTCATTTCTACTCCATGAATCAGCAATTCCCTTTACACAGGAACATTCAAATCTAAATGCGTATATTAAATCACAGGTACATGTAGTCACAAACTTGGCTGCAAATTCAGAGAAAGAAATGAACTTAAAAACAATACCAATAATAATAATGACAATAACAATACGCCAGACAAGTAATGTTGCTTGATATTGTATTTACACTTCCTTCGTCGTCGTCGTCACCGGTTTCGTCGTCTTCTACATCAGCAGCTCGTTGACCCATCCGAGATCTGGGGCTGAGCAAGAGGACCCGTTATCAGTTGAAACAGCCTTGCTTTCACTGCTGAGATATGTGCTGTTTGGATACAATTTCCCATTGGAGAAGCTTGAAGAAACAGAAGATGTTGTTGGAGTACTATGAGCAGATGGCGAAAGAATAAACTGTTGCTGCTGATCTTCAAAGCTAAAAGAAGCGCCGGGTGAAAGAATGAACTGCTGCTGCTGGTCTTCACAGTTAATCAAAGACATGTCAAGCCATGGAAGATTTAGGGATTTTGTGGCAGAAACAGGCGAAGCGTTGGCTTCAATGAAATTCAGACCCTCCAAGGAGCTCATTAATTCAGTGAGAGCATCCTTATAGCTCGCCAGCCCATGACTATTCATCAGCCTACTAGATGACAATGTCTCGCACCCTGCAAGTCTGTCACAATATCGAGAGATTGGTGACACTCCATTCACAATCGACCGGCGTTTCACCGGTGAAAGAGGCGGTGAAACAGGGGAAGACGACGGAGAAAGTGGCGGTGACATATGGGACATTCCAAACAGCGTGGATGTTGGAGATGAGGTAGAACCAGCAGCGCAATGATGACAAAACAAGCAGCAATTGTTGGATCCAGAGGTGGGGTTCAGGAATTTATTATGATTCTTGCACGAAGCGTGATGGTCGGCAGATGAAGAATTATGGGACTGAGAATTAACAGGCAAAATTCTCAGCTGGCGAGGTGTGTGAGCGAAGAAACACACCTTTCGCTTACAATTCTTCCCATCTTTACAAGCCTCAGTTCTGTACCTGGCAGGGTGAAGCCAACACTCGAACACGCCGTGCGCAAACTCGCAGCTATCACCGCGGCTGCACCCACCGCGTCGATACTCGGGGCAGACAGTGCCGGAGTAATGAAAACGGCGGGGGTCGCGGCGGCGGGCCTTCTCACCGGGGTGAGCAAAGGGGCAGTCAGTCCAGTCGTGGCTGCGGCTGCGGGTGCAGCGGCGGACCTTGAACTCGTACATGCGGAAGTGGTCAGAGGAATAGGGATCAGAATCATCGTCGTCAGAGTCGACGTTGAGGTTGTTTCGAGGGAGAAACTTGTGAAGGAAAGCCTCGTCGGAGGAGGAAAAGCGGGGGGAGTCAGGGAACATGTCGGGGTCGTGGATGGCGGAGGCGGGAGAACGGCGAGTGAGGAGCTTACGGGGAGGGATGTCGGGGAGGGATTTCTTGGGAGAGAAGGGAAGAAACTTGTGCTGATCAGCACAGACGCTGCTCATTGTTGCAGAGAGGGAAAGGTGAGAAGGTTGAAGGGAAAGAAGAAGAGGACAGAATGGAACGAAAGGAGAGGGGAGAGATATATAAGAGCCAAAAGCAGGAGAGGAGACGGAGGAAGAAGAAGGTGGTTAATCAGAAGGGGGAGAGAGAAAGGAGGAAGGAGAAGCGTGGCTGCATCAGATTTGAGATGGGCATGCAAAGGAGGGTATGTGGCAGTGTCCCAATAAGAGCCCGGCTTATGTGTTGCTGTCTCATCTCTCTTCCCCTTTAAATATCTGTCTGAATATTCTAGATCACTTCACCCTCTCTCTTACTCTTTCCCTTTCACTTCCCCCATATCCCCTTTTGTTTTGTTTTGTTTTTCTTCAATATTCTTACAGGACATAACTTGCAGATTAAAAAACAACCCGTTTCATGAATTCACGATATTAAAATTCAATTTGAGTTCATTCATCATATGACTGAATCGGTAAATCAATCTTTTCTCTAGCTGGGTTGAGAGTTTCGGACATTTCTATTGAGTTAAACCAGCAATAACATTGGTTAGGGTTAAAAAGAAAAGGTAAGTTGTGAGATTCATGATTTTGTAATCTCATTTTATTAAATCATGTGTGATTTATACATAACCATTTTATTTGCTTATAAATCACTATCGTTTTATTTAAATATGATTTTTTTAAAAAAAAAGTTATATATGAATATTTTTATATTCTAGTCAAAATTTAGTAATTTAATTATAGCGGGCCTAACCTTATATTGATGTTGATTTAAATTGCTTGACTATTACATTACTGTATCGATTAGTTTAATGACCTATTAATTTTCAAAACTTAAATAAGAGTATAATATCATGCATGTATTAAAATAAGCCAAAAAAATATTCCCCCGATTTACTGTAATAGCGTCAAGGGAGATTATTATTGCACCATGATAGTCAAAGAAACGTATTTTTATGATTCCAAGGATTATTAATTAAATTGAACTGTTTCTGAAGGGAGATGTGGACACTGCTCACATTCACTGGTTTGATCTAGAAGAAGCTCGCATTAAAGGGAAAAGAGATACATTCAGTTGATTTTTACGTGAAACGCAAAGTCATCAAATTCTCCATAATTGATAAAGGGATACGCTGCCACGTGGATTTACATTTTTTTGGGCCAAAAAGGTGGTTGTTTGGTTTGGGGCCAATCAGAGAAGAACGGAGCCAGATGTCTGGAATTGGCGGGCAAAGCGGAAGGAAGAAGGCCACCTCTGAGTTTGGACCGAGCCCATTAATTTCAGTGAACCCAGAGATGTGAAGCCCATATTATTAATTAAACTAAACAAAAGGGTTCCTCGAATCGTGAAAAATGGAACTCATCTGGCAACTAACTTTTAGGACAACGCCTTGTAACTTCCCCGCACTTTCTTTCCCGATAAATATGAAATAATTCATTCCCGTGGACACTTGTTCCACTTCTAATTGACTCCTTGCTGACTCCCATCCATCCATCGTCCCCCTTTTTTAATGGGAAACCGTACTATTTTTTTTTTATCACAGGAAACTGTACTACTCCTCCGGTCCTACTTATAAAATACTTTTAATATATTTCACACAGATTAAGAAAATTTTTAAAATGTATTAATTCTCTATTAGAATATAACAAATTTTCAATTTTACCCATATTTAATATATATACCTTTTTAAAAAAATAAATACCTACATCATAACAAACGAAAGACAAAATAATATATTCACACTGAAAATTTAATGAAGTGACTTATAAATAACACCAAGTAAAACCTTCTCTCACTGCCTTATAAATAGGGCCAGAGAAGTAAGAGACTAAAACAACTTTTCTGATCCTCTTTATAAGTTATTTTCAACATATTTTATATAGATTAAGAAAAACTTTAAATTTTATTAACTGTTTTTTAAAATTTAATAATTTTTAACTTTATTCCTATTTAATATACATTACATTTTATGTAAATAAATTTAATATAATAATAAATAATAGATAAAATTGTATATCTATATAAAAAAAATTTCTTAGTGTCTTGTGACAAAAAATGTTTTCTTTTTCTGCTCCTCTGTTGCATATCTTTTCTCATCAATCTCGCCTCTTAAATAAGAGGTGGAGGTTGATGAAAGATAAAATTTTTTTTCCGTGACTTGTTAGCAGATTTAGCCAACATATCCGCCCTTTGATTTCAAGTCAATTTTACTATATTTCATTTAATAATTTTATATTCAATAATAATGTCATGCAAAATAAATCCTACCCTCTCCTGTTCACTAGGTCCTTTTTTAATTTTTTTTAAAAATAAGTCTAATTTAATAATATACAGAGGATTTTATTTGTTTTTTCTACTTTGATCTTATTGGAAATAGAAATCAATATAGATTATAACTTTAAATAAGATGCTTTAAGGTTGGCGGGCAAAAAAAAGAAAGATGCTTTTAGAATGTATTGCAGGCTTTTTTAAAACATTTTTAATGAGCCAACTTTCATTTGGCAGCCCTCCTAATCCCTAAATATGTGCATATGAAAATTCTGAGTAATGTGTATTTTTTATTTTCAATAAAATGAAAAAAAATGAAGAAAGGGGTGTTGCAAATCAGATGCGTGGCCATGTTATAAATCAAATGAGAAATTAATCGTGGCATACTATAGAAGGTACTGCCTCCGGTTAAAAAATACTCCTCCGGTCCTAATTATAAGACCCAATTGACTTATTTGAGGAGATTAAGGAAGTAAGTTAAGTTGGTTATTTATAATAAATAAGTGTTGTTATTCCTAAAATATCCTTGCTAATTAAGTATATTGGCTAGAACTATTATTATTAGAAGGATTATCTTGGAAAAAAATACATAAATATAAGAGAGAAAATGGATTGGGTCTTATAATTAGGACCAAATAAAAGTCAAATTGGGTCTTATAATAAGGACCGGAGGAGTATAAGATAAACTTTGTTAGAGATGTTTAATTTTTTTTTTATAAAATAACTTTCACCTTCGTCTGATTATTAATGATTTTTTTAAATTTTGCCCCTAATATATTCTTTTTCTTCTTTGATTCATTTATTATACTCTTCCGGTCCTTGATATAAGACCAATTTAACTAATTTGATTAGATTAAGGAAGTTAGGTAAATTAGTTAATTATAAGAAATGTGACACGTTTTTCTTAAAATACCATAATTATCTTTTTTAATACCCCTCTTCCTCTTCTACTTGATTATAGTTGAGGGAGTATCTATAGGGGTAATTTAGAGAAAATTGATAATTATGAGAAATGGGTCTTATATTTAGTACCAAAATCAACTCCATAATTAGATCTTATATTAAGGACCGAAGGAGTATCTTTTACTTATTTTCTTTATCAATAAGGGTATATTTGTGAAAAAATGTATTCCCTACATTTTATCATTTTAAACTAATTTTAACTAATTTCTTAATAAATATAAATGGATAAAATTTATTTTATAACCGGAGCATCATTCTTGATGAGTGTAATCAACAGACATCTATAATCATCTCTCTAGCAGAGACAAAATAAGAGGGAGAATTACAATCAAGTCCTATAAAAGAAAAAAAATAACAAAACAAGTCCTAAAAGTTATTATTTTCTACTGTAAGACTTGTCATTATAGAATGTTCAGATTGTTATTGGGACTTTTTAATAATTATTTTTTTTCTGTTGGACTTAGTTGTAATTCTCCCAAAATAATACACAAAGCTCAGCCCCCAACCAATTTTTTTTTTTTTTAAAAAAGAGATCAATATGAGAAATAGTCAGATGGAAGTAATAAGAGCCTCTGTAGTGAGAAAGAGTGGCCATTCCTTATGCGTCTCTCTCTGTCTCGTCATGTTTCTCTCTCAGTATTTCATGTTTCTTCTTTTGAGCTATAACTTCTCTTATTGATGCGTTTATATTAATTAGTTTGAATTATATGAATCATTTATAGCTATTGCTTAGTTAAGAGTGAATAAAATGATTGCATTTACAAATAAAATTGCTCAACAGAACAATCTGGTGAAAGTGATAGTAACCAAAGGCAAAGAAACAAAGGAAACAGAGATGCAAATTTAATGACGGGCAATTTATTATCATGCTTCTCTATGCTCGTTTCCCTATTATTTAGATTACTTATTAATTGGATTTATCAAAAAGCTTTTGTGAACTTTAAGTTTTATGGATCCATCAGATAAACTATTCATACTAAACCTCGACAGGTTGAATTGACTGCCAAGAGTTATTTCAGCTTAAGTATAGGTCTGGAGTTTAAGACATGAGAATGCAACATCCTAGGAATCAGGAATTCTAACCTTAACGGTTCCTGTCATGCTTCGAATCCAGATTAGTCTAGATTTGTTGAGTTTCTCATGACATAAGAGCTGGCCCAGTGCACTATGCAAAAAAAAAAAAAAAACTATTCATACTAAGAAGCACTTAAACCAACTTCTATTTGTGCACTGGTTTTCACTTTCCAAGGGGGTAGAAACAGAAGGATAGGCGACTTAAAAGCCAGCCACATTCAAGCACAAAGATCTTACGGTTAAATAACAAATCCTAAACAGATGAAGCAGATCCTGTAATGGGGTTGCAACCATCCAAACTAATTCATTTAGACATACATATTAAAGAATCTTGAGGAAAAATGTAGAAACATATCTGACATTTATACACACAATCGATTGCTGTGACTTCCTAAGTTCATGTCTCAAGAACATATCATTGGAACCTCACAACAATGCAGGATATGTCATCCTTGCTCTTCCTAGCAACGGCCTCATCTATCAAACGCTTCGCTGCAGCCTGAGCATCCTTTATTTGTCTAATAGACTCCACTGCTTCTTGGTTTGACACAACCTGTTAACGTCAACAAAATATCTAAATCTTTACTGAAGATTGAGAATTCTAAGGTGTATTAGAATATGAAGCATGGATTAGAAGAGTAAGAAAACGGCTAGAAATTTTACCTTCCATATTCCATCACTTGCCAGAATAAGGAATTCT